AGAGAAACAAAAATGGCATAATCACTAGTCAAGATTTGGTGTGATTACTTGCTTGTTTGGTTTTGATTTTCTGAAAATATTTTTTAGAAAATTCTATTTTTTAATTCTCCATTTTTTTTTCAATGAATTTTTTTAATATTTTAAGCAATTTTTTTACTTTTTAGACACACCTAACGTAAATACACTTAAAAAGTATAATATTTATGAAAAAATCTTTAAACAATTCATTAAATAATAAAAATACAAAAAAAATGAAAATTCAATACGTTTTTCGTATTTTTATGTATTTATTAATTTTTTTAAATATTTTTTAACAAATATTTTACTATTTACATACATCTAAGTAAGGTGCATCTATAAAAGTAAAAAAAAAAATGTGTTTAAAATTTAAAAATATTCATTAAAAACAAATATATAAAAAAATAAAAAATTTAATTTTTAAAAAAATGAATTTAAAAAACTAAAATCAAATATAATGGTTATTATTATTATTATTATTATTATTATTATTATGATTTCTTTTTATGTCAGTTTTTATTCACTCTATCCCATCGTGATACGTGATTATTATTGCATGTTAGTTTTATTGCATCCCACTTTCCTGTTCCTCAGTGCCTGCTTTTGCTTCACTACAAGAAGCAATAAGACTAGATAAGATTAGATCAAAACCAAAGATGTGGAGTGTAGTTTGGGTAATAAGACTACATAAGATTTTATTAATTCCAAATCCCACCAAATCAAATTCCATTTTCAAATGTCAATTCCATCTAATCCGACTATTCCAAATATGTTACCATCACGTTTGTTTTGGTTTAATTTTTTTTCCTAAAATATTATATCATATTGAAAATTAATAACAATCACAATTCCAATAACAAAATTTCAATGAAACAAACTCAAGAAAATCTAACCTTGTGCAAAGATTGTTGCCAGTAACTAATGAAAGGGAAAGTGTGTGTTAATTTAATAGTATCAAACTTAAAATGTGGGTTCATGATAACTATGTGAGTATCCCGTCATGAAATCTTTTTCCACTTGTTCAATCCAAAATCGAATCACTCAAATTATGTTTTTCACCTTCCTTAATGCCTAAATTTGATTTTAAATGTTTAAATTTAGAAACAAGCAAGCGCTCAAAGCAAAAAGATTAAACATGGCGTTAATATCGGAGACCCCCCTAGCATGAGCCTACCATTCTCTGTGTTTGGTTTGAATTTTTTGGATTAAATTTTTTAAAAATTGAATTTTTTGTTTTTAGTGAATATTTTTGAAATTTTAAGCATTTTTTTTTTTTACTTTTTTATATATACCTTACTTAGATGTATCTAAAAAGTAAAAAATTTGTGAAAAAATATTTTTAAAAAATTAATAAATACATAAAAATATGAAAAATATACTGAATTTTCGTATTATTTTTGCGTTTTTGGTATTTAGTGAAATTTTAAAAGATTTTTTTTACAAAAATTATACTTTTTATATGTATTTATGTTATGTGTGTCTAAAAATTTAAAAAAAATTACTTAAAATATTAAAAAAATCAATAAAAATACAAAAATACAAAAAATAATAAAATAAAATTTTCTGAAAAATATTTTTGAAAAACCACGTCACATACATTCACTTGTTTGACTTTTGTTCTACAGTCAAATCAACCAAATTTTGACACGTGGCCATTCATCATTTTTCACCTGGCTGATTATTTATTTCTACTAGTAATTACTTCTTCTTTTTTAATTATTATTATTTTAAACAAAAAGAAAAAAAAAAATCATTTTCTATTTAATTTGATCACACGTTCTCGCTAGCTATAAACTCTCTGAAGCTCCAATCTTGGCACCAACTTGACATACATACACACATATATACATATATTATCTACTATTATATATGTACAAACAGAAATAATTGCATATTATAGATTTTGAGATTGAAGGAGGGAGGGAGTGAGAGAGAGAGAGGCGTTGGAAAATAGAGACATTTCCGGCGAATAGCTCGCCGGAAACAGAGAAACATTGGGGAATTTTTCGGTGAAGATGAAATGGAGAGGCGAGAACAGTGCAAAGCTCGGTGGTAATGGCGAAGAGGAGAGAGCTGGCCGAGTTGACTCGATCCAAAACATGAAGCAGGTATTCGAGAGGCGATTGGTGAAGTACGAGAGCTTGCCTGAGTACTTGAAGGACAACAAGTTCATATTGGACTATTACCGGTGTAAATGGCCGTTGAAGGAGACGCTGTTCAGCGTCTTCGCTTGGCACAACAAAACGCTAAACATCTGGACATGAGTCATTCGTTGTTGTTCGAATCGAATCAACTCAATCTCATGAATGAATCTTAAATCGAAATTGAAATCAGTTTCTTTTTTAGTTTGAGTTTGAGTTTGAATTTGAATTATTTGAATTTTCGCAGGCACTTGGGGGGGTTTATTATATTTGTTGCATTGACCGTGTTGAGCTCGTTGGAGAAGAACAATAACGAAAGCTTGATCGTGAGTTTCTTCAAGTATCATAATTTTTTAATGTTCTTTTTTGTCCATTGAAAAATCATTTCTTAAGCTTGTGTTGGGAGATACACCAAACCTACGCCTCAAACACCATGGATGATGATGATGATGGACAACGAAGACAGACGCCAAGGGCTCAAATTCTTTTTTCCCGGTGAGTTGTTCTCCCTCCCTCCCTCCCTCCCCTCCTCCACATAATAAGACATGAAACAGGAAAATATATGGCAGTGTCTGGGCATAAATCAATCGATGTTAATTTAGGCCAAGTTTGGAAAGACTAAATAAGTGTACTTTTTGATTTTTCTTGTATTATGTGTAGAAAAAGTAGAGATGAGATGTTGATTGATGTGATCCAAAAAAGATAAAAAGATTAAATAAGTACACTTTTTTAATTTAGTCAAACTTGGCCTTAATTTTTTTTTTCTCAAGATTATCAAATATTAATTTATTAATAAAATTAAATTACAACCTAAAGAGGTCACCTTTCTATCAACTCGACTGCCAAACCTTTCACTTAGTGACAAAACATGAAAAATGGATAAACAGTCTGGATTCTCTTCCGAATCCGACTCAATGTGATTTAGCATTATGTGCAAATCAGAGTGGGTTGAGTTGTTGAGTGAATAGCAACACTCACAAATATATGACCACTCCATTGATTTAAGTCCCATTTGTTTTCCTCTATCACAGTCCATTTCATAGTCTATTTCGAACTGTGAATGATGAACAGTGAAATATCTCATGTTTGTTGTGATTTTGGAGTTTCGGATTCATAGTCTCCTTCGGACTACGATAGGCCTTGACGAGGGTATTGTTAGTCTAGGCGAGGAGGTGATATTGGAAAATAGTCCGTTCGGCTTAGGGTGTTACTAGTCGTCCACCTGATCAACCAGTCAACTGCAATTTATTTTTTTATTTATTTTTTTTACATGTTGGATATTTTTTTTTTAATATTAATGTTTAGATACCGTTCGGTAACGTTTACGTTTTTTTGTTTATATTTATGAGAAAATTATAAACTAGTTTTTGTTTATTTTTGAAAAAATAAAAACAAAATATTTAAAAAAATTTAAAAACGAAAACTCAAAAACATGTTTGTTAATTTTAATGCATAAAATGTTTATTTTGTTTTTTCAATTATTTATGACAATGAAAATCATGCAAATCATAAAATTATAATAAACATCAAAAATAATAATGTTATACATAAATACAAACCACAATTATATGCAAAGCAAGCTGTTGACGATGAAGAGAGAGAGAAAGAGAGAGCTGTGTTTTTTTACCATTGCGGAAGACGATATTACGCGTTGAATATATGGTACCAAAATGTGTCTCCCTAGTTTTGAACACCAAACCATCCCTTTAGTCAATCTTTTTTTTTCCTTCCGTGTATTACGCGTTGAATATGTGGATGTTTGGGAAGTTGCTATTTTAGTAAGCTATTTTAGTTTTTGACTATTTTAGGAGTCTAAAATTTTTGTGTTTGGAAAGATAGTTGGATTTTTTTATAATTGGATGTGATGTTTGTGAGAAAAAAAAAATGAAATGATTATGGGTTTTATGCGACATTTTGTGGTAACAATTAAAAAAAAAAAACATTAAATCCCTTACCAAAATGATAGTGAGAGAACTGCTTCTGAAGTGGTTGGTGGAGGAGATCGATTCGAACCGCTAAGAGATAAGAATCTGCAAAATGAGAGATACAGTTAAGAAGTATGAGACATTATTTTCTACTACAAACGAGGCACATAACAAAGAAAAAAAAACATGAAATCCCTCACCGAAATGGTAGCGAGAGAGCAGCTTCTGAAGTGACTAGTGGAGGAGATCAATCCGAACTGCTGAGAGATGAGAATCTGAAAAATGAGAGATCAAGAAGTTATTGAGATTATTGATATAATTTATTCATTTCTCTCACGTTTTCAATTTGGTGTTAATATGGTTTTTCAATAATTGTCATTAATATTTTGAAAGGAAATATAAAACGTGCGAAATTAGAAGAACTAAACTAGGATTCCTAAGGGGTTATTGAGATTATTGATATAATTTATTCATTTCTCTCACATTTTCAATTTGGTGTTAATATGGTTTTTCAATAATTGTCATTAATATTTTGGAAGGAAATATAAAACGTGCAAAATTAGAAGAACTAAACTAGAATTCGAAAGAAACTATTGACATTATTGATATAATTTATTCATTTTCCTCACGTTTTCAATTTGGTTTTAATATGGTTTTTCAACAATTGTCATTAATATTTTGAAAGGAAATATAAAACGTGTGAAATTAGAAGAACTAAACTAGGATTCCTAAGAAGTTATTGAGATTATTGATATAATTTATTCATTTGTCTCACATTTTCAATTTGGTGTTAATATGGTTTTTCATTAATTGTCGTTAATATTTTGGAAGGAAATATAAAACGTGCAAAATTAGGTAAACTATGTCTATGTACTAGACTAGTAGAAGATACCCAACTAGAGACACGAGTTTTGAATTTCAGTTGTATAATGTACTCCTTATAAGCTGAATATTGAACGTCTATGCATATACTAAAGTCATTCTGAAACATGGTTTGCCTAGCCTTCAGATCTAGGACACATCACGTGTGCATCATCGGCAACAGCGGCGTTAGATATGGATGATGCTTCTAATAAGGCAATTCCTAGATGGCCTTGGTTTGTATTTCTAGCTAGGGCTATGGGTTGTTTACTTTGCAACTCCCTCTCCCACCTCTTTGCTTGCCATTCCAAACGCTGGAATGTGTTTTTCTGGCGCCTAGACTATGCTGGCATCTCCTTAATGATAGTCTGCTCCTTCTTTGCTCCCATCTACTATGCTTTCTCCTGCAATCCATATTCACGATACCTTTATCTGACCTCCATTTCATTACTTGGTATCCTTGTCATCATCACCCTCCTTGCACCTGCTCTGTCCACTCCCCGCTTCCTATCCTTCAGGGCCTCCCTCTTTCTGGCCATGGGCTTCTCAGGGGTGATTCCAGCAGCACATGTCGTGGTTCTCTTTTGGGGCCATCCACATATGGTTTTGGCCCTCAGATATGAGCTTGTCATGGGTGTTTTATATGCTGTGGAAGCGAGTTTCTATATGAGTAGGACACCAGAGCGATGGAAGCCTGGTGCATTTGATATTGTAGGGCACAGCCATCAGATTTTCCATGCTTTTGTTGTGTCAGGAGCGCTTGTTCATAGCGCTGCCACCCTCCTAGTAATGGACTGGCGTCGGGGTTTGCCAAACTGTAAGTGATAGGTAGCAGCAGCAGCTATGGATATATGGCAAATACCTAGCTAGCTGGCTGGCTGGACATGATGACACACTGCTGCTGTTGCTGAGAGCATTATCCATTTGTCTGTTGTCTCTATTGGTTTGCTTTAATAACCTGGAGAGCACAAGCACACGTGTCCTGCATTTTTGTAACTGTCAGTATGGAAGGGCAGGCAGGTCTTCTTGTATAATGTGAGATTCCAGAAACATATATTGTGATTACTTATTAAACTATTATTCTATTTCTATAAACCTTTGTTTGAGTGTGGTATTGGTTAGGAATTAAGGTACATATTATATTTGCTGGATGTTATTTTTTTTCTTTTTTGTTTCAAGGAACTGTGACAGCGTAACCCATGAGTTGGCTAAATTTGCCTTGAAAGATCAAAATTTTCCCGTTGGTTTAATATGGAAAATTATTAAACCAAATCCCATAAACATTGCAAAGAATTCCCATTCTTAAATTATTTAAGTCAATTATAGTTTGATTCATACTTGAAGGTTTCATAAGAAAATTCTTAGAAATTCATGCTGATTTAAATGAAAATTTTGGAGAAATGGTAAATTTTCACCATTTGAGAACAATGAACACAATGAAATTTCATTTTATTTCTTCTTCAAAATTTCGTATTCGATATGAATATTTTTTTTATAGATCTCAATGAGAAGATTCTAAAAATACTAATTTTATAAAACATGAGTATGTAGATCAAAAGTTATGATATTTTAAAATTTTAACATAAATTCAAAAATGATGTATTGTTTCGTGTGCATAGTGTGTTCGCTGCAAGTCAAGCTTTACTGAGGAAAATAACATATATTTTTTAAAAGTAGCTATTTTTTAATTAAGAATTACAAAAATGCTCTCTATTGTAATTTGTAAGATAGAGATAGTTTTTACTCTCTAGGGATAGGAAACTTGTTGGATAGATTTTGAATATTTGCCTGCATATTGTAGCTATGGAGAGATAACAAATATGCTACTATTGAAGATGCTCTAAACGCATTATGGTTAGAAACTGTCTCCATAATCTATCATCTTGCTTCTCTCAACAATCTGATGTATACATATAGGCTAAGCAAGTAAAGAAATGGTAGAAGACAAGGTGGAAGACAAAAGGAAGATAATGAAGCTAAAGAAGTATTAATTGAGCTAATGGGAGACAAAAGTGGAGCATTATCTCTAATGGATCAAGCACTAGATAATGGAGGCTGAGTGTATATATATTTGGTGATGAATATATCAGAAAATGAGTTAATGAGGTGTCCCAACCGAACCAAAATCAAAAAAAAAAAGGGGTCTGATGCTGTTTTAGGCTGGTTCAACAAAATCTGCTCTTAAGTCCAACTTCAAACATGCATATCTCCCTTATCCAGACTTAGCTTTGGGTGATTCTTGGATCTAAATTGAAGCCCCAGAGGTCTAGTTTCCAATAGTGATGATCTCACATTTAAATTCCAAGTGTACAAATAGCTATGCCTAATTTAGTGAAGGCTGTTCATTTCCCTCAGGTCAGGTCAACAAAATCTGCTCTTAAGCCCAACTTCAAATGAGCATACCTCTGTTATTCAAACTTGATTTTTGGTGATTCTTGGATCTAAATTGAAGCCCCAAAAGTATACTTTCCAATGATAGTGGTCTCACATTTAAATTCTAAGCGTACAAAGAGATATGCCTAATTTCGTAAAGGTTGTTTATTTCCTTCTTAATGACTTGATGCTCATTCTTTTCCTAAACTAGTTTTCTTTCATCCCCTCCTATTTCCTTCAAATCCAAACCTATAAAGAAGATATTTTTAAATATTTTTTCAAAGAGTTCACCTCTCTTCCATTTATTTCCACTTTTTCCTTACTTAGTTTACTGAAAAGTGCAATATTTTAAACGAAATAGGAGCCTCGGAACATTGTAGAAATATTTGGAAAAAATATTTTAAAAAGAAGGTTTTAAGGTCAAAAATAGTTTGGCCAAAAAAATGTGTAAAGGTTGGAATTAAAGTTCATATTCCATCTCTCTTATTGAGAATTCTGTGAGAAATACATTCTAATTGTTATCATCGGGTAATCAAAAGAAAACGCTCCAGTCTTAGGGCCAGTCAAAATGGGGTGTCTACAAATGTGAGGGTAAAAATGCATATATCCAGCCCCTTCATTCAGCCGGAGCTAGTGAATTCAATGACTATCTTTCATTCATCTGAAAGTGAATTGAAAGACTCCTGGAATAGGAGTTTTTCTCTCAGAAGTCCTGGTAAGTGGGAGTGGAGCCAGCACAGTTGTAGCGATGTCCGGATATGATATTTGAGAGACTATTTTCTGATGGTCAACAAATCATTGATTATAACAAATAGAAAAAACAAAAAATTCTAAAATAATAAATAAACGGCCTCTTCTTTTATTCGAGATGTCGTTCTTCATTTTTTTTTGCATGAGTTTGTTGACGTAAGTTACTAGAAAGAGGGTAAATTGTTTCCTTATTAGTTGATCTAAAGGCTTTTATGGTTATTGATTGCATTAGACTACAAAGGACAACAAACAGACTACTTCCATCCAAAAACAAGTGCAATTATTCTATTTCTTAAGCAAGTGTCTTGGTCGATTACAAAACACGAAAAGATAAACACGTGTTAATTTCTTCTAATTTCTTGGGCCACCACGAAACCACAATGCCAATGAGAGAATGAGCGAGTGCTGTGCAGCTCGCAGCATTTGAATCCTGAGCTCGGTTTCCTTTATTATTTGGTCTTTTGGTAGGTATCGCCAAAAGGCAAAAAGGAGCCTCTGGCATACGCGGAGCTGGTTCTTGACGCGTTCGATTTCTTCTCCAAGTTGAGCAAGCCTTTGTGCCATAGCCATAAACATAGTTCATCAACCTCCAAAAATTCACACTCACACAACTTGAAACAATGACAATCTAGATATGATAGCAATTGAAATATTAGAATCAATAAAATTTGGAAACTAGAGAGATGTGAATAGGCCAAACACTAAAAATAATTTCACTTTTAAGAATTACTTGTCAATTAACTATTTCAATTTTAGATCAACGGTGATAACAAATCACATAAATATAATGCTATAAATAGAACAAAGTGATTTAATATGAAAATCTGATGAAATAGAACATTTTGGAAAATTTAATATGAAAATAGAACAAAGTGATTTAATATGAAAATCTGATGAAATAGAACATTTTGGAAAATTCAATATGAAAATAGGACAAAGTGATTTAATATGAAAATCTGATGAAATAGAACATTTTGGAAAATTCAATATGAAAATAGGACAAAGTGATTTAATATGAAAATCTAATGCAAAAAGATTATAATTAGTGCATTTTGGAAAATATAGTGTCCTACAAAACATTTTGGAAAAATTATAAAAGAAAAATTTCAAGGTTTGACTCTTGTAAAAAAATAAATACTAAAATTTTAATTTTATTAATTTAAATCTTAATGGGTTTGATGTGACATTTTGTCGAAACAATTAAAAAAACATTAAATCCTCACAAAATGATAGCGAGAGAACTGCTTTTGAAGTGGTCGGTGGAGGAGATCGATTCGAATCGCTGAGAGATGAGAATCTACAAAATGACAGATAGAGTTAAGAAGTATGAGACATTATTTTCTACTACGAACAAGGCACAAAACAAAGAAAAAAAACATGAAATCCCTCACCGAAATGGTAGCGAGAGAGCAGCTTCTGAAGTGGTTGGTGGAGGAGATCAATCCGTAGAGGTAAATACCCATAATAATCATGTTAAGACCCAACCAAAGCCATTTGACCATGCCCTATTACCAATGTTAACTTACCATATACTAAAAGTGAACAACAAACAACTTTGCTCTGCGATACTAGCAACAACAAGTCATGAATGTGAGGGGGCAAAAAATTCCATATAAATTAATAAATTTTAATATTTGAAACAAGCTAGTTATAGTAAAAAAATTATTTAATATATGACAGTTTTCTCCAATCAAACATGATGGCAGGCAAAGCACCTATACAAATAAATTTAGTTTTTATTTTACAAATTAATATTTCATTGACTTATTCCAATCATTTAACTCTATTACATTTGATTTTAAATTTAAATTTGATTTTGTAAGGAAAAAAGTTTCATTGTATGAGACTCTTTGTGCGAGCCATACATCAACTTGGCTTCCCAAAATCTCAGTTTGATGGCTGATACTTCCTCCAAGCAAGGGACTAAAATGTCTCGTTTGGGATAGATTTTGTTGATGTTTTAAAATTTTTTGATCATTTCTTAATACCTCAAGAAATATTTTTGTCCCTGAGTCGTTGGTTTTTGTACTTATGTGAAGTTTCCTTTGTCATGCAGATAAGAAATGCAACAGGTTTAGTTGCTCCAGCTATTGCCGTTGGTTTAGGTGCCTTAACACATACATTGGGCACCCTCGTCCCTGTG